AAAAATTTTAAGAAAATCAATTCCAGGGAATTATTTTCTAAGAATTATTATTGGGGATTTTTCTCCCAGGGAATTATTTTCTGCTTACCTTTAGGTCTACTAATTTTTTTAAAAATTTTTTATAAGTTTTCAGAAAAATTTCCATAATCTATATATCTTTTACATTATATTTAAATATTTCATCGAATTGCTTGGCATATTTCCCTTTTTTATTCATGCGAACATATATTTTCACATTTTCTGTAACTGGCCAATGCCTCATTTTTTTTTATTCATGTAAATATTACATTTCCATTTTTACTATTTTCACAATTGACCAATGCCTAATTGAATATAGAAATATAGATGATACATACTCAGAATTAAAAAATCACAGTCCCTGAGTATCAAATCCATATAAATATCCATCTTTAAAATTATATATTAATTATTGTAAATATTTATTTCAAAATTATTTACAACTCTTATAATTATTTTAAAAAAAATTAATAATTTATAAAAAAATTATCCTAAAATATTATTTATTCTAAAAAATCAATCTTCCTTATAAACAAAAATTTTTTCCGCGAAACATTTAAAGCAAAGACAATATCGCGAAACTTTTATCGCGAACCGGCTATAGCGAAACTTTTATCCCGAATCATTTACATCAAATTTTTTATTGCGAATGTGTTTACGCGAAGTCATTATTGCGAGCGCATTATCGCGAAACAACAAATATATTGCGAATGTATTTATTTAAAGGAAAACAATATATTGAATATTAATTTACTCACAAAAGTTCCTTAAATGTTTTATGGATCTTTTGTTACCTATTGTATGTAAGCACGTAAAAAATAAATCAACCAATATCTTTCTGGGCTCTTCTCACGTACGGTTAAGTACGAAGGGGATATTTAGTTCAGATTTTTACCCCAATAAATTCACTTCTCTCCCCTCTAACATAAATTTTTAAAATGTGCTCTATGCCATTAAAAGTAAATTTGAACAAATATTTTAAAATGCTTAAAAATTTACCGATTTTAAAATACTAAAAGCTAAGAATTTTTGCTGATTTTTATCATATTATTTTAAAATCATAGAAGATTCTAAATAATTTTTAAAATTTTCTAAGAATTATTTTAGTCCATTTTCGGAGTTATTAAGACACAGAGTAATGATTAATTTTACAACTCAAAAAATCATGCTTATGCACTTGAATAAAATAAATAGTAAATATTTCTGAGCAATATATTTTATTTTCTAAGAAATTCGATTCCGTGAAAATTAAAATTTTTACTTAGCAAAGTCGTCTTTTGGGAATTCAGTATAATTTACTTTAAGTTGTTTTAATTCTAAGTAATTAAGAGGAAAGCAATAATATATGCTGTAGCACTAACCTATATGTATTGTAGTTAAGCATTACATATTGGCTTAAACTACAGAATTAGTATATCCACGGGGTTTGTAGAAATAGTTAACTTCCAATTTTTTTGAAGAAGGGTAGACATTTAAAGGGGGGGGGGGTAGACTAAAGTTAGGCTAAATTTTTAAATGAAATAGGTCAAAATATATAGCTGTAAAATATAATTTAATATTTATATTATAGACCTATAATATTACAATGATATTGCTAAACACCAAAGATATCTATTATATACAATCATAGCACTCGATTCCTGGTTTCCGTTAACACAGTCCTTAATTAATTTATTTCATATTTATTTAAATTAGTTTATTGAAAATTATTTTATTTAACGTTATTTTCCATTATTTCTAACATAAATAATTATGTTTACTTTCATAATAAGGCGATAGTTTGATGGGTACTTTATTTTTTGTTTATTTTTGCTTTTTAAATTATTATTTGCGCGTTATTTTAAATTATTATTTGCGCGTTATTTTAAATTTAAAAATCTGATTTGGGGAAATACATTCCAATAAGTGTATAATAACCACCCTATAAATTTCAGACAATTTCATAATGAACTTGTGTCTTTTGAAGAAATTTTAATTTAGATTAAAAATATTTGGTAAAATTATGTATAAATTAATATAAATATAAGTTACTTCTAGGTTGGTCATAAATTTGTCTGGAATTTACAGAGTATTCCACACATATTGAAATGCATTTCCGACAAAACAGATCTTTAAATTAATCGTTCAATTAAGGATTTAAAAAGCAAAACCTACTGGGCACGTCGGGAAAACCCCATTAAACTATCGCCTTACCCAAAAATCAATTGAATTAAATATATTAATATTCCTTTCGTATATATATATGTCGTATTGAGATATGGAATCATGTGGGATTCAGAATCCCAACGTGGGGATTCAAGATCTCCACGTTTTATTCGAAATCTTTTTTTTTAATATTTTTTTTTAATATTTTTTTTTAAAATATTTAAAAAATATTCCGAATCCCATGAAAAAAAATAAATAATATAATTACTTTTTCTTCTCTTTTTTTGCGGCTGGCACCATATAATTAGGCCAAAATAAGGGATTTAAAAAGGGAATTTAAAAAAAAATAGTATAAAATTAAGGCATATAATAAATGAAAAGGGATGAGGTTAAGAAAATAATTATTGCAACAATACTTCAATGCAATATGGCATTTCGTTGAACATTTAAGCAGGGAACCGAACCGTTATTTATAACGGTTCAGTTTGGTTACGGTTCAGTATATAAAAAATTATAATGGTTACCTTTTGGCTACGGTTCTTGAGAAGAAATTTATGGTTCAGCTAATTATAAAGGTTTATAAAGGTTCATTACGGTTAGATATTTTTTTTTATTGAAGCAACACCATCTTCTAATTTATTTTTATTCTATGAATTATATATTAAAAAAATATATAAGATTCAAAATAACTCATTTTAAATATATTATTTGAACTTATATGTAATATATTTTCAAGTATAAATGGATTCCTTTTTGTTCGTTGTGACGATAATACAAATTTTAGCCCCGAAAAGGCCCTTTCCACAGAAACTTGTGTTGCGGGAACCGCCAGTGCTATAAGAGCACGTCTATTTAATTCTGGATATTCAAATTATTTCCATTTCTAAAATATAAAAACTGAACCGGTTTAACCGTTTTTTATAAAGGTTCTTTTTACTCCTTCTAAAAATAATTATATCGGTTCGGTTACAGTTATGGTTAAGATATTTATAACAAAAATATATTTTTTTTAAAAAAATATTCAAGGAGATTCGGAATTTTTTTTTTTTTAAAAAACAATTAAATTATATTTTTTGCCGCCTGGCTGGCACCAGAAAATTTTTTTTTTAGATATATTTAATATATATTACTTTTATGCTTTCATTAAATAAATACTCGATAAAATGGTTATAATATAAATTAAATGTAATAAAATAAAATAAATGTGGCAATGAAAATATTCACGCTCATTCACGCTTACTATTAAAAAGTTTTCGATGTTTCACGCCCGAAAATTCACGGTGTTTTAAAATTTTTCAAAACTTTAATGCTATAATTTTTTACACTTTTTTGAATTTATTCTATTTATTTCTTTAATTCCATAATCCATGATAACAAAAAATAAGTACATATTATAAATCCAAATTATTACTTAGAAAAAGAAGACTTTCTATTTTTTTTATTTCAATTGTGTACGTTCCTCTAATAGGCGATTGGCTACAAAAAGTAAACTTTCACTAGAAGCCTAATTTACCAGGACTGACAAAATTTTACTCTCTAATTTTCTCAAAAAAGGAAATAAATTTTCCTACTTCTAAAACTTCAAAATATTGCCATTGTTGTTATTTGTTTTAATTTTTTAAATTTTATTTTGATAATATTGATATCTGTATAATTTTAAAAATATTGATAAAAAACACTAGAATATTAAAACAACTATATAAAAATATGTAAAAATATATAAAATTACTAAATAAAAATATATATTGGTCCTTAGCCTTTTTTTTTAAAAAAATATTTTGATAATCTCAACTTAAAATTTGTTCTTTGTTATAAATAATTTAGTTTTAACAATCTTTAAATGAGTCTGACCTTATTTGGCTCAACCTAAAGATACATAGTATTTTTTCTTATTCATAATTGATTTTTAAAAACGCAGAAAAATAAACCATTATAATTTTATATATACTGAACCGTAACCAAACTGAACGGTTATAAATAACGATTCGGGTCCCTGCTTAAATGTTCAACGAGATGCCATATTGCATTGAATAATTGTTGCAATAATTCGGATTTTTTATAAATATATTTTTTAATATTTTTTAAAACAAAAAAGTCAACCTCATCCCTTTTCATTCATTATATGCCTTAATTTTATGCTATTTACTTTTTTTTAAATTCTCTTTTTAAATGCATTATTTTGGCCTTTTAATTATATGGTGCCAGCCGCAAAAAGAAGAAAAAGTAATTATATTATTTTATTTTTTTAATATTTTAAAAAAAAATATTTAAAAAAAAAGATCCCGAATAAATCGTGGGGATTCAAGATCTTAAATCCCCACGTTGGGATTCCGAATCCCAATCATTCCATATCCCAATACGACATATATATATAAAAATAGACTAATCACAAATATAATAAGGCGATTGATTGACATTAAATTATAATAATAAATTATTTATTTTTAAATATTTAAAATCTGCGACAGTCCCACCACTTGTAAGTTTTCGTTGGAGAATGTTTTTGACTTCATGGCTAATTATAATGTTATGTTGATGTTTTCATATTTTACTTAGATGACATCATCTTATCTGAGTTCCCGAGTTTCGCATTATTTCATAATTTTAAATGCTTAGTTAAATAAAAAAAAATTTGGCGTTTAGAAACAAAATGTTTGTTTTTGATTGTGTTCAAACAATATTAATATAATGACAATACGATAAAACAGTTTTTAATAGTTAAAGTTCCAAAAAGCAATTATACTAAACAAGACTTTTTTCTTCTACAATTTCAGGGGAATATTAATTGACTAAACTCACAATAAATCTATATAATGAAAATATTTATTTATCAAAAGGTCTAATGATAGGCCATCAAGTTTTTCTCCAAAATCATTCATTATGCAATTTTGTGGCGAACGTGTGCCTTACCGCGTGTGTTGCTCAACTTTTAACCCATGCAGTCATCGCAATTACCAGGTAAGTGTAATAAATTTAATACGGAAATGAATAAAAAAATTAGAATTTTGTTAAATCTTTGTAACGGAATAAATAAGCCCATCAATTTCAATAACAATTTTGGGTCATATCCTCCCTTACTCCCCGTGATAGATGTGCCTGTAATACATTGATTTAACAAGCAAAAAAAACAACACCATAAAAGGCCACCATATATAAATAGCTATGATTCATAGATGTTAAGGATTTTTCTAAGAGGAGGGTACTATTATGAGCCATTTTCCCTAAAATTTTTTTGAAGATTTTTAGGTCCTTTTATTGCAGGCCTTTGGCTATGTTATATCCGGCCATTTTTATGAAGTCTTTTTAAAAAATTATTAAGACCGTGTCCTGGGTAGATTTATTCCTAAATAGCTGGCTAAGTAAACAACCAAAAGATGAAAAAGGATAAATTAAAAAAAATAAAGAAAAAACGAGAAAAAAAAATATGAAAACACCAAATACTTAAAACAAACCAAAATAGGGTGTCCTAATTCAAATGCTTTTTAGCCTACACTAAAAAGCAATTAATTATCAAAATTAAGTCGAACCAGGACACAGTCTAATTGCTTTGTCCTTATCAAAAAGAAATTTTAAATATCATTTATTTTGATAAAAGAAGAAAAAACATCATTTATTATATATTTAAAAAATATTATATTATTCAAACCCAAGTCCTGCTCGATTTATAAAAATTTGGCTCTAGGGCCGGGCACTGACCTCCAACCATATTTTCACTTAACAGTAGCAAATGTGAAAGTTTATTTAACTGGGAATACTGTTCTAGACCCACTTTGCAGAGCCCTACCTTTGTTTATTGTATATTTAAGGATTATACTGACCCCCGACCTAATCTTCAATTATGCACAGTAGCAAACGTGAAAGTACATTTAACTAGGAATACTGTCCCATACGATAATATTCAGTAATTCTCTATCCTAAATCTAGCAGCTACTTTTAATTAATAAGTAGATGTATGGTCCCTAATTTTTTTTATGTAACATAACTCAAAAAGAGTTTATATCAAAGAAATTTAGTTCAACCATATTTATTTGAATGCACAAATTGAACTACAATGTATATATACATAGTATATTGCATTTTTTTTTAATATTATTTCCAGAGTTGGTTATCTGAACATAAAAAGTTGTGATTATCAAAATTTAAAAAAAAAGGTTCTAGTTTCCGGTTCTTGGGTTTGAAGCCATTCTAAGGATTCCAGGTTCCGGTTGCAAACATTTTTGAAAGGCGATGGCAGAAATCTTAATAAAAAAAGCCCTTTAAAATGAATCACCCGCTTTCTAAATTTGTTCGCGATGGGTTTTTATTTTCTGTTAATCTACAGTTATTTCAATAAAAAATGGTGTATATATATTTTATTTTTTTGAAAAAATTTACAAAAAAGATATATCTCTATTCGTTATCCTACAACCTTTATTAATAATGCAACATGGAAGTCTACTAGTATCGCTTGCGCCCTCATATGGATCATAGCGTTTATGCTGCAATTCCCACCAGATGTATAAGAGTTTCAAAATTGTTATTTATATTGTTTTCTTTAAAACAAAGTTATGAAATAATTTTATTTTTAAAATAAATATTATTTGTATCATTAATATGTGCTAGAAAGTTTATGTTTGGGCCTAAACTTAAAAAATAATATATATTTATAAAATCCCATAAATTTCATGTTTATAATTTATGGTAGTTTAACATATATTTTTATAGAATTCAAAGATATAAAAAAAAACATAAGGAGATTATTATACCATTAGCTATGAGATCTATGAGGCAATTAAAAACACTTGTAGTTATGTCACATTGTATAGTCTAATTATATAAAATAATTTTATAATATTTTCAGAAGAACTCATTTTCATTTTAAAGCTTAATATTTTATAACAAATATATAAACCTACAATTAAAAGGTGGGTTGGGGAAGGAACGTTTTAGACCTTAAAGCCATGATTTGTATATGGGACAGGACATATTCCATAGGTTACACCCTTTATTTTGCTATAGTCTATGTTTTCATTCCGATGTCCAGCATATTTTTTTGTTATGTCATGCTTTACTTGCACATCCGAAAAATTCGTCGAAACATAGACTCCCAATCGAAAAATGATCTATTCAAAATTTACACATCAATGAGTAGGAAAAGATGGAAACAAGAAATCAAACTAGCTAAAACACTATGCGCCCATTTTGCTATAGTGTTTATTCTTTGGGGACAATACGCTTTCATAGTGATATTCGATTACCGTAATAGGCTTCCTACGGTGGTGCATGCCATTTCCATTCAAGTCGCGCATTCGATCGCTGTTGTCAACGTGTTCGTTTACATTTTCAATCGTTCTTTCCAAGACGGTATATACTATAATGGTGTTTATTTCGCATCAAAATTAAGAAATATGGATTTATTTTTAAAAAAATATATAATTATTTTGAATGTATCCGAAAACAGGAAAGATAATTATAGAAAAAATTTAGTTATAATGTAAGTAGATATATTTTTTTAAAATAGTTTTTACAAACATTTGAGTTTGAATAGGTTATCTTTAAGAGGGATATTGATGACTTAAACTTAAATAAAGATGTTATGTTGGGTCAGCGTCTACATGACAGGATATTCATCGGATGCAAACCTCAAAAACCTATACCAACCCCCCTAAAAAAATTAGGAATGTAAAAGAGTTATTTTAGAGAACATGAATTGAATTAAAATCCCCTTCATTTACATTGAATTATTATAGTATATTGTCTAGCATGAATATTTATTGAAAATAATGTCTGTGATTATGTGCAATATATTGATTTGGTCAATGTTTAGCAATATCATGGTATTATAATAGTTCTATAAAAAAGTATTAATTTTAACAGATCTTAATAGATAATCAATCAATAAATTTATTCTACCCTTAGCTTACCCCCCCCCCTCTCCCGCTCATGTAGAAACTGTGTTGGACATAAAAAATATAAAGGAAAAAATCCTTATTTCCCACAGTTTTCATCTTACTCAGATTTGCCTAATAGATTTCACTGTAACCCTGTAAAAATAACTATTATGTTCAATGCCCTCTATTACCACATAAGTGAATGAAGCTAGACCTTTATAGGGGCAGTAGAGGGATTCCAAGAGTACTCCTCCCGTTACTAAAAATTTATTTGTCTAATTTTAAATATTCTAAACGGCATTTATCATTCATAAAAATTTTACATAAAAACATTATCATTTATTACTATCATACAATATAACTCCATCATTGATTATATAAATTTTTATTCCATAAATATAATTGAGAAGGAAAAAAAGTATAAACAATTTTTTAATTCGATTATAAAATAATAAATAAATTTTATATAGTAAACGAATGATTTAAAAATAAGATTAAGGTTAACAGCTGTTTTGTGCATTGCTTGTCTCTATACCATATTTTGTAGATAAAGACAGCCAGGGACCCAGACAAACGTACTTTTGCGTTCCTGTTCCGTTCCACATAATTTTATTAATATACACTTTTTATTCATTAATCCTTATACCAATTTTTACATCAATTAATTAAGACATTTCCTAAAGGGTAATTAATATATTGGCGGTGTTACAAGAGCAATTTAATAAATTTAAACTCTTAATTTCTAAAGTTTAATTGTATAGTATAAATTTAAATTATATATAATTATTTGATTTCCCAAATTTACTTTATAAAGTATTAATTTAAATTGAATGGGAATATATATTTTTATATTTATAATTTACATCTTATTTATCAAAAACACAAGGTATGATAGCTTTTCTCACTCGAAAATCCATGAGACTCATATTATCTGGAACGGGAACAACAGAGGTTGCAGCAACCAGCATAACAAAATCTGAAACAAAGACAAAATTTTTTAACAATACTGTCAAACCAAGTAAATGTTCAATAATATTTATTGTTTTGTTTTTATGAGAAAAATTTATATCATATAAGACAGGATTTTGTAAAAAGCCCTTATAAAATCTATAAATGTTAACAAAAAGTCTGGATTAATAAATCACAAACGATAGTTAATTAACTTACTCTACCATATATTTATATATATAAATATTGATTTTTTAAAAAATAATTCAAACTTTTTATTTGAATTTTTTGAGTGGAACAAAAACAGGTCACGGTGGACATAGTTGCAGGGTACATAGGTATACTACGCGCGACACATAAGGCATTAAGATGATTCTATATAAAGGCAGGTGTTTGATGCAAAATCATCATTGAAATTGAAGAGAAATAGGAAGTTGTGAAGACTCTCTCATTATTAAAATAAAAGGAGGAGTGGGGGGGGGGATAATGTAAATGGAGTTTTAAATTTGATTTTCACCAGATGAGAAGGGGGTGGGGGTATAGAAATGCTGGTATATACCCAAGATTGTAAACTGTATTTTTATTTTAAAAAATGACGCATTTAGTTTCCGGCAGGAAAGTAAGAAAGTAAATTTATATTGCTAAGTTTACAATACAATGGACCGTTATAGTATTCTTATTCTAGATTAATAGACTTATTCTTAATTCTTTGGTTGCCGTTAGGCATTATAATTCAATGTTTGTTCTGCATAAGCATTCTGAGACTTTTAAAGGAATAGGAGTACATTAAATCCATTTTAATTTTATTATATTAAGATAACCGTATCACGATTTAAGTAGGAGTATGATATTTAAGATTTTAAAAAATACATTAAAATGCTGTTAACATTTGTTTATTTTCAAAGCCATGAAATTATTTTATCAATTATGTCTTATAGGTTTAAACAAAACGTGCCCTAACCTATCTTAGTCTCCCCTAAATACGTCTTAAAAACAATTCAAGAACAAAGTAGTAGTTAAATTACTTGAATCTATAGGCCATTTTAAAAAACTGGAGATAAACCACAAGATTCACTCCCCCCACCCTCCCACACCAAAAAATGTTTTATTATCTAATTGCTTACCCTTTGAATAATATATGAAAATAAGTGGAACCTACCCCCCCCCCCCCATTCCCCCCATCCAGTTTATTAAGACATTCCAGTGTGTAAAAGGACCGGGAAATACGTTAAAGAATATTATAAAATACATTGTTCTCTAAATTTTGCTTTTATTTTTTTATTTGGTTTCCCTACCCTCTAAATTTCTTTTTCCCCTTATAAATAGATACATTTTGCTTAGATTTAGGGATCATAAAAACTTTTCGATTTTTCTTATATTTTTTAAAGTTAAGAAATCAACATCAAATGGTCATAGCAAAGACTCTAATCTGCAATTATAATGCGCATAAGACATCAAGGAAACTTGGAGTTATTGAAGTGTCAAAGAAATATAAATTATTAATGAGATTGTGAAAGATATTCAACTTGAAGATGATATGTGTTAGACCCAATATACTATAATGTTTATCTTGATTATCATTTCATTAATTAAGACACATTTTGAAGCATCATATATAAAACTTGGGATATGCCATTTTGGTATAAATAAAATGAAATTGTTTTTTAAACAGTTTTCATAAAATTTAATATAAATTATTTAGATTGCAAACCAAAATGGCGTGGTATAAGCTGATTAGCATCGATACACATTTAAAAATATATGAATCTTTCATCTATAATATTAATATGTCATTGAGTAGATAAGATATTTTACCTTTTAATTTTAAACCTTTATAAACCCATGACATTCAAATTTATCGCAATTTTTAAAAATAATATATTATTTTAATTATTTCAATTTTTTTCTAATCTGTACCAATTGTTCAGTAAAATCAATGTTTCGATCTTAATTTATGATAATTACTTACACATCCTATATAGTTAATTGTGACATTAATAAAATTCAGAGAAACGATAAAATACATTTTATATAAGAATCTACTAGACATATCTGTTTGATTATAAAGATTTTGTTTATGACATATTTTGTTCTTTTAAAATATATTCACCTGAATTTTGTATTAAAAACACTCTAAGTATTGTCTTTATTGAAATTTTGTACACAATAAGAAATTCTGAACCATAGATAGTTAACCTTTTTCGACCTTCTCATTCTTTCTTATATAATGTTTATCTTATTTTATAAATATTTTTTTTATTAATATCGTTTTGGTGTATCTAATCACAATATTAATGCTTATTCGATCCAGATTTTATTCGTAAATTATAAATGTTTACTCACAACATTAATGCTTATTCACTTCTAATTCTATTCGTATATTATACTAAATGCAATATTGTTATGTTACTCTTGTATCTCTAATAAAAATAATTACTGATTATATGCTTATCAAATCAAAATTATTTTATGTCAACTATGTTTAGCATTCAGTAAAAGTAAATATACTTATTGAAGTGTTTTATTAAATAAGTAAAATAGGTAAAGTAAGTCAAAGTATATTTAATACAAAATATCACGTATATATATAATGAATTCAATCCTTCAGGTTATGTAATTTACAAACGAAAAGTTAATATTATATTCAATTTAAATTCAATTTACAATTACATTTATATTACAGTTCTCCCCACTATAAATTGAATTCATCGTGATAACGTAGTGGGGGTTTCGAAACTCTTTTTTCAAGAGTTGTATTCTCATGTTCTGCCTTTTCCACTTCTTTATCAACGTAACGGGTATTTCCTTCTCTTGTGTATGTGCATCCCTCAATTGATCTGCATGCTTGTTTTTAACGATCCCCTCTGATTCCACATCGTACAATAATTCGCTTTTTCGTTGTAACACTTTTCCTCTTCATGCCACCCTGCTGTCCTTTCGTTTGCTATCCAACTTTTTGCTGCTCTTTAAACTCCCGAGGTTCAACAATTCTATCTTTGTAGTACTTTTGTTTCCATAGAGCGTTTTCCGTCCTTTCTCTCGTTGATAATTTCCACTGATCTAATGTCGTCCATTCGCTAAATTTAACTGGTCCGGAGTCCCACATCTCCTTCCAGCATAGAAACGCATCTTTATCGTCCGTATATATCGTTCAGCCAAA